GCCCAGGCTGGCTTTGAACTGTGATCCTCAAATTTCTGTCTCCTGAGTAGCTAGGATTATAGGCATGAGCCATTGGTGCCTGACTTCTTGTTTTTATTATATAAACTCTCTCCCTCTTCAAGTCTTCCTTAGATGTCTGAATCGTTGGCTATCACCTCTTTTTTCTTTCTTTCTCATGTCCTTCATGGGGTTTGAACTCAGGGCTTGTGCACTGTCCCGAGCTCTTTTTGTTCAAGGCTAGTGCTCTACCACCTTTGGCCACAGTGCCACTTCTGGTTTTCTGGTGATTAATTGGAGAAATAGACTTTCCTGCCTGGGCTGGCTTTGAACTGTGATCCTCAGATCTGAGCCTCTTGAGTAGCTAGGATTATAAGCGTGAGTGAACAGTGCTGGCCCTCACCTAATCTTAATCAAGTTGTCTACTACTGAACTACATCTCCAGTCCTAATCCTATATATTTAAGTACTCAGATAAAATTTAAATCTGGTGAATCCTAAGATTCCTAAGATTCTGTCTCTCCCTTGAATCCCAGCTGCTATTTCAGTGGGTTTCTTGATTCTGAAAAGTTATTTCAAACTTAACATGAATTTTCTAGCCTTGTCTTTCAGGAAAGGCATCAGTGTTTACTTGAGTTTCAACGTTGTCATTTATATGTTTATGTGTTTATTTATTGCCAGTCCTGAGGCTTGAACTCAGGGCCTGTGTGCTGTCCCTGAGCCTCTTTGTGCTCAAGGCTAGTACTCTACTACTTGAGCCACAGCGCTACTTCCAGAAATAAGAGTCTCATGGACATTCCTGTCCAGCCTGGCTTTGAACCATGATCCTCAGATCTAAGCTTCCTGCAATTATAGGCATAAGCCACCGGTACCCGGCATATTTATTTATTTTTTTTGTACTGTGGTTTGAACTCAGAGCCTCATTCTTGCTAGGCAGGTACTTTACCAATACAGTCTTTCCCCTAACCTCTCTGTATAAGTCCTGAGCCTTGAACTCAGGTCTTGGGCATTGTCTCTTTTGCTCAATGCTAGTGCTCTGTGGTTTGAGCCACAGCTACATTTCCTGCTTTTTAAATCCTATTCCTATGTCCTTTATCTGCTTCTCCAAATTGTTCTATTTTTCAATACTCATTCCCTTTATTCCAGCAACTTAAACCCTTGTCACTCTCAATGTGGCAGACTGAAACGCATGGCGTTATGCATCTCCCCTTTTGTCTAGAGTGTTAATTGATCTATCTCAAAGCACCCAATACAATGCCTGGCATATAGTAAGCACCCAATGAATACTCCTTCAATGAGAGAATGAATATATGTAAGTGCTATTCCCTTTTTCCTTTTTTTGTGTCAGTAGTGAGTGGAGTTTGAACTCAGGGTTTGGGAGCTGTCTCTCAGCTCTGTTTGCTCAAGGCTAGCGCTTTACTACTTTGAACCATAGCTCTGCTTCCTGTTTTCTGATGGTTAACTGGTTTTCTGGTAGTAATTGAAGAATCTCATGGAGGGGCTAGGATGTGGCGCAAGTGGCAGAGTGCTAGCCTTGAGCACAGACACACTCAGGGACAGAGCCCAAGCCCTGAGTTCAAGCCCCAAGACGGGCACATGGAGCCAGGTGCCAGTGGCTTACATCTGTAATCCTGGCTACTCAGGAGGCTGAGATCTGAGGATCGAGGTTTGAAACCAGCCCAAGCAGAAATGTCCCATGAGACCCTTATCTCCAATTAACCACTCAAAAACCAGAAATGGAGCTATGGCTCAAAGTGGTAGAGTGCTAGCCTTGAGCAAAAGAGCTCAGGGACAGTGCCCAGACCCTATCTTCAAGCTCCATGACCAACTGAAAAAAAAAAGAAAAAAAAAGAGACTCAGATTCTTTGCTGCCCAGGCTGGCTTTGAATCACAATCCTCAGATCTCAGCTTCCTGAGTAGTTAAGATTACAGGCATGAACCATCAGAGCCTGGTGCTATTCCTTTCTTTAAGCAACCTTATTAATTCTACATTTGCTTTTTGTTGTTATTTTGCCAGTACTGAAGATTGAATGCAGGGCTTCCCACTTGGCTTGGTTACTTGCTCAGCTGATGCCTGCCACTTGAGCCTTGGCTCCAGACCAGCTTTTTGCTGGTTATTTTGAAGATGGAATCTTTTAGAATCTTCTGCTCAGGGCAACTTAAACCATGATCCTCTAGATCTCAGCCTTTTGAATAGCTAGGGTTATAGGCTTGAGCTGCTGGCAACAAGCGGAAGCTTGTGTGAATTAAAAATATAATAAAGTCATATAAGAGTAGGTTTCTGAGATTCATTCCAGACCATCTCCTTTTCTTTTATTAGCTTTAAGTAACTGTACAAAAGGGTTTCAATTCAACATGTCGGCTTATAAGTTTTTGTTGGTTGTGGGGCTTGAACCCAGGGCCTGGGTGCTGTCCCTGAGCAATTTTTGCTCAAGGCTAGTGATCTACTACTTTGAACCATAGTCCTACTTCTGGTTTTCTGGTGGTTAACTGTAGCTAAGATTTTTTTGGGGGGGGGGTCCGGTTATGGGGTCTGAACTCTGGGCCTGGGCGCTGTCCCTCAGCTCTTCAGCTCAAGGCTAGCGCTCTACCACTTGAGCCACAGCGCCACTTCTGGCTTTTTTCTTTTTGCTTATGTGGTGCTGAGGAATCGAACCCAGGGCCTCATGCATGCAAGGCAAGTGCTCTACCACTGAACCACCTTCCCAGCCCCTGTAGCTAAGATTCTTATGGACTCTTCTACCCTGGCTGGTTTTGAACTGCAATTCTCAGATCTCAACTTCCTGAGTCGCCACTATTACAGGTGTGAGCCCTTGCTCAGACTATCTTACATTAAAAAAAAAAATCGGGGCTGGGAATGTGGCTTAATGGTACAGTGCTAGCCTAGCATGCATGAAGCCCTGGGTTTGATTCCTCAGCACTATATATACAGAAAAGCAGGAGGTGGCACTGTGGCTCAAGTGCCTTGAGCAAAAGTAGATCAGGGACAGTACTCAGGCTCTGTGTTCAAGCCCCAGGACTGGCATAAATAAATAAGTAAATAAATAAATAGTGTAATCATGTTATACCTATGTTCTTTGTACATTTCAAAGTTTTGGAATATTTTTTAGACTTTATTTTAAAAATTTATTTTATTGTAAAGATGTTGTACAGAGGGGTTACAGTTAAATGAGTAAGGAAAATGAGCACATTTCTTGTCCAGGATTGTTTTTTTAGTCCATGAGGGAAACTCGGGTGTTCCAGTCCAAATAGCCCTATTTTTCATCACATTTTCTTTCTTGTATCATTTGATGAGCCCACCACAGGGACTCCCACAAATTCATCTCACAAGGATGAATTTGCACTAAGGAGGACAAGGGTAGGGTATGGTACATTTCCTAATGCCACAGAAGAACCTGTCCAACTTTGGTCATTGTCAAGTGACAACACTATCATGGAACATTCCAGTGACTTCCTTAAGCAATATAATCATTTCTAAAGCACATGGCTTGCTTGTTGAGCAAGCCATATCCACCCACATACTTAGAGAAGAGTGAATAGCATCTGTCTGTCTCTCTGTCTGTCTATCTATTTATCTATCTATCTAATTTTTGTGTATTAGGGCTTGAACTCAGGGTCTGAGTTTCTCTGCTCAAGACTGGTGCTCTACCACTTGAGCCATATCTCCACTTCCAGCTTTTTTTTTGGTGGTTAATTGGACATAAGAGTTGCATATGCCAGGTGTTGGTGGCCTGTAATCCTAGCTACTCAGGAGGCTATGATCTGAGGATTGTCGTTCAAAGCCAGACTGGGAAAGAAAGTCCCCAAGATTCTCATCTTGAATAGACAAAGGGACGCTTAGACTTTCCTGCCCAGGGTGGCCTCGAGCCAGGTTTCTCAGATCTCAGCCTTCTGAATGTCTAGAATTGTAGGCTTGAGCCGTCCAGCATCCCACTTAACTCAGTATATTAAAATAAGGTCTCATTTAATATTTAAAACAACATTGTAAAGTAGATATTATGGATGGGAAACTCATTCCCTGAAAACACAAAGTTCCAGGGTGTCTGACATCTAATCCCCATCCATCTTTGCCAGTTAGTTGGAGCTGGGTGTTTGGACGTTTGGATCTCTCTTCAAAGATTGGTCTTATTTCTACTCATCCAGCTGCTCTTTGGGAAAACAATGCAAAGGAGGGTAGGATGTGGAAGCCCGAGGTTAGAAATGAGTTAAGTAATTTGGTTAATCAGTGTTGATGTTTCTAGAAAATAACTGCCTTTTCCAGAATGGTAAGGAACAGGGTCAAAACAATGGATGGGATGTGCCTAGTCCTGCAGTACGCACCCTGAAACACTGGAGACTCAGACTCCAGGAAGGGGTGTCTCCGAAGCAAAAAGCCCCCAGCTGCGGAGTGTCAAGTGTTCGGTTTTCACCCACACTCAGCAGGCAGGCCGGCTGGGCTGCAATTTTGCTGTGGTGGGAAGCCCCAGAGAGGACGCATGTCCAATCAGACACCGTCCCACCCAAGCGCTTCCCAGGACTCTCAGGCGTGGAGGGAGGCGGGTAGGGACCTTGGGGAGCCGTCCATCTCCAATGATGGACGCGCCAGCAGCATGGAAGGCTTTTCCCTCCTCTACCTCTCCAGGTTTTCAGAGGGGCTTGACCCTGAAAGCGAAGAGTCGGGCTTTCTGATTGGTTTAGAATACAAACGCCCGCCAGCGCTGCCTGAGACCTGCTCTTCGATTGGATTTTACACGAACAGCAGAGCACGAAATAAAGAAGCCTTCAGTCATTGGACCATTGTGTGAATCTCCTTTTGGCTTCCCTGCCGATTGAATTAGCGTCTCAGGATCTTCGTCATGACTCTAAAATCTGGGCCTGTCACTACGGCCCAGCGTTTCTGGTCTCTAGGCACGGTATGGGGTTTACAGAGATTAACCAATCATATAAGGTCGAGATCAGGTTGCCAGGCAGGTTATGCTAATAAGGCCCCGCCTTTTATGCTGCTCCCACTCTGCGGCGGGAAGAACCACCTGGAGGCGGAGGGGGGGGTTGATTTCTATCACCCCTAGGGAGAGAGGATCCAGGACCCGCTGATCTTCCAGCTCCCCTCACCCAACATCGTGTAAGTACCTAAAGGATTAAGAGAATTGAATAAGCCAAGGTCCAGAGTACCCTATCGACTGGGAGGGTGTTTCGTCTTTGCTTAGTCCCACCCAAAATGGCGCCCGGCTCTTTCCGCGTCTCAGAGCCCGGCCGGGGCCAACCGACCGCGGACCCGGGTGGGGGGGGGGGGAGAGAAATTGATGGTAGTGGTGGGGGGAGAAATCCCGGCGGCACCGCCCGATGGTACAGTCCAGCCGGGGCTGGGACACGGCACCTCGCTCGGGGTGGGGGGTCAAACCATCTGCACCTTCCAAGGGGAAAGGGGTAGCAGCCCCTCCGGGAGGCCCTCTTGGCGCGGCGCTCCGCGATGGCTCCGGCGCCTCCTCGCCTTCGCCTGTCCCGCGCGCAGCTTCGCCCCCTGCGACCCCCGAGTGGCTCGCACGCTCCGCCGGCCGCGCGCACCTCTCCTCCCCTGCCCGCGTTGGTTGGGCCGGGACGGCAGTTGGGTTGCCAGCGCGCTCGGGCGGCGGCAGCGGTTGGGCGGGCGCACGGTGTGCCGCGGGAGGGTGTGTGCGGGACCGGGCCGGGCCCGGCCGGGCACCGAGGATCCTCGCGGGGGGTGGCGGCGCGGCCCGGGTTGCGGGGCGCGCATGGCGGAGGGCTGTGGGATAGGGCGTCCAGCTTTGTCTGGCGAGACCGCACCTCCCAAATGCCATTGATTTCTGGTCCCTTGGCCTGTATTTGCAAGTTGGCTGTGCCGGGACCGCGGGGCCCCGCCTGCCGGGGGTGCTATGGTGACCCTAGTGGGTCGGTCTGTCTGTCCTCCTGGGTCTGTCTGTAAACATCAGGTCGGGGTGGGGTGGACGGAGGCTTTGCCCGGGCCAGCCGGCACCCGGGGGACAGTGCCAAGGCCGGAGGGGGTCAGCCCGTGTTGGAAAGCAGGCTGATGGTTTACAGTCACCCATCTGATTCTCGGCTCGTACTAAGCATTTTTGAGTCTATAGTCAGGTGTAGGTGCTATATGCTAAGTAAGATGGACTGATTTCCGTGCGCCCTACAGGCACAGGAACTTAAGTTTGCGTGCCTGTTCTTTTACCCTGGCTAGCTAGGTAGTTGGATTTCAACCCATTTTTCAATCAACATGTGTGCACTTGAGCAAGTGGAGGGAGGGGCGGCTCTGTGCTGTCACCCAGTCTTCAGCGTCCTCTTGATGTTTTTTTTTTCCTGTTAGAATCTTTCCTACTCATCACCCCTAAGCATGTCTAATTTAAATCCAATCGTACTTAGCTTTTATTAAAAACAGTGTCGCTAGGTGCTGTCTTGTGGCCCCTGATCGGTGTGCTTCTTAGCACACCACCCCCGCTGTAAGCTGTTTGAAGGCAGGAGGACCCTTAACATAATGTAGTGTGTATTCCGTCACCTTCCATCACCAGCACAATAGCTTCTGCGTTGATAAGCAATACTATTTTTTGCTCTAGAATTGAGAAAAACAAGATTAAAATGAAAATCAGAATTAGGGGCTCAACAGCATATAAAGGCTATTCTGTCTGGTATATTTAGAAAATTACTAGGTTTGCTTTTTACAAATAAATTGAGGTAAACCCAGTGTAAATAAACCTTTTTTTTTTTTGCCAGTCATGGGGCCTGAACTCTGGGTCTGGGCGCTGTCCTTCAGCTCTTCAGCTCAAGGCTAGCGCTCTACCAACTTGAGCCACGGCACCACATCCAGCTTTTTCTGCTTATGTGGTGCTGAGGAATCGAACTCTGCCTCATGCCTGCAAGGCAAGCACTCTACCACTGAGCCACATTCCCAGCCCCTAAATAAACCATTTTAAACTGAACAATAGGTAGCATTTGGTAGAATTACAGTTTGTATTTTGGATCAAGTCCTTTTTATCCTTCCCACATTGTCAATCATTTATTCCATGTGAATCTATTGCTATATTGATTATTTGTTGGGGTCCTAAGTTGCTCTGTTTTTCTGAAGAAGCCACGTTTATTTATTGTCGGTCGTGGGGCTTGAACTCTGGGTTTGGGCACTGTCCCTGCGCTCTTCAGCTCAAGGCTAGAGCTCTACTGCTTGAGCCACAGCACCACTTCAGTTTTCTATTGGTTTATTGGAGATAAGAGTCTCACGGATTTAACTGCCCGTGAACCTCAGATCTCAGCCTCCTGAGTAGCTAGGATTACAGGGGTGAGCCACCAAGGCCTGGCTGCCACATTTATTTTTGTAATGTTTAATATGCTGCATCATGACTGAATATAGATTGTGTTAGGGATAATTACTGATATTTTGGTGTATTTCATGTCTGTGTGTGCATGCATAAAATATTTTACACACTTGGCACTTGTGGAGTTTAGTGTCTTGTAATGCAGATGTATATCTAAGGGCTTCGTAGATGATTTGCCACTTTTCATTATTTTCTATTTGAAGGGAGCTTCAGGAAGTCCTTTGAACTACAAAATAATGTTTTGATTAATTTTACTACTTGTTTATTTATTTTTGGCTTTTTGAGGTGGTCTCGCACCGGAGCCCAGGCTTGTTTCCAGCTCATAACCCTGCCTGTCTTCTTGAGTGCTAGGATTACAGGCTGAGTTTCAGTATATTTTTTTAAAGTATAACCTAATTGACAAGGGATAGGTTTTTGAATAAGGAGCAGAATTTGTCAAAGGCCTGGGATCTGAGCTGTAGTTTTAATTTGTTCAGTAAGTTTTAAGCTTTGTAAACACATGGTAACTGCAGAACTTCGTTGGGTAAAAATAATTTGGTGAAAACATCCTGTCCTTGCAAGGTTTGTTTAGCCAGTTTGTTTAAAACTTGAATGTTGATGTACTTTGACCTATTGCCACCAGCATAGTCTTCCAACTCCACCCTGGAGTATAGACTCACCCGTTCAGTAATTTTTCACAAGAAAAATTTATTCTTTAAATTTATCATAAGTACTGTAATAGAATAAGGGAGGAAAATTTGGTTAAGGCAAAGGAAATGTTGAGGCTAGTGGTAGAATGTTTCACTAGCAAGTGCAAGGCCCTGAGTTCAGTGCCTTTCCTTTTCTTTCCTTTCCCTGCAAATTTGAAATAGGAAAATTTTGCCTTAACCTGTGCAGAATGACAAGCTGAGATTCTCGTGGGGGAGGGGCAGGAGGGTGATTGGGGAACTTTTTTTTTTTGGTCTGGTCGTGGGGCCTGAACTCTGGACCTGGGTGCTATCCCTCAGCTCTTCAGCTCAAGGCTAGCCCTCTACCACTTGAGCCACAGCGCCACTTCCAGCTTTTTTCTTTTTGCTTATGTGGTGCTGAGGATTGAACCCAGGGCCTCGTGCATGCAAGGCAAGTGCTTTACCACTGAGCCACCTTCCCAGCCCCGGAACTTTTTTTTTTAACTTATATTTTTTCTCCCCCTCAAAGATGACGTAATAGTTCTACAGCTCAGAAGTTTGCTTCACATAAGATTAGATCCTTTATCTTGAATTTCAAGTATGCAAGTTTTTTTTTTTTTCCCTGTGGGTCACTCTAACACCTTGAGGCACAGCACCATTTTTGGGAGTAGAATGGGTTTTGTTTTGTTTTGTTTTTTAATTTATTTTTTATGAAGTACCAAGGAAATGAACCGAGGACTTCATGTATGCTACCCAAGCACTTTACTACCAAGCCACATTCCTAGCCCAGGGAACTTTTTCTGGCTATGCTGTTTTGATCCACACTGAAGACTTTTTTCCTCTATCATTATACTATTTACTCTGGTTATCACTACTTGAGTGATAGGTGTCTGGCTTGTGTCTTTTAATTTTTTTTGTTAGTTGTAGGGCTTGCACTCAGGGCCTGGGCACTGCTCCTTAGCTTTTTTACTGAAGACTAGCACTCTACCACTTTGAGCCACAATGCCACTTTCAGTTTTCCGGTGGTTAATTAGAGGTAAGAGCTCTGGGATTTTCTTGCTCTGGCTGGCTTTGAACGGCAATCCTTAAATCTCAGCCTCTTGAATAGCTAGTATTATAGGCGTGAGCCACTAGCACCTGCCTCCTGTGTCCTTAAAGTTCTTACTGTAACACTGGTTCAAAATGTGCTTGGAACATTCTGAGTTGGCGTGACTCCCTTTTATTTCCTACAACTCTTGAAACAGTGTTCATAAAAGAGTATTTCCATTTCCTTTCTGAAATCTTTTAGTGGCTTCCCACCAATTATACTAGTGTAGATTTTAAATTTGTTCAGGTTATAGAAAGCAACTGGAAACAAGTTCTTTATGGATAAATTGGAAACAAATTTTTTTTTTTTTTTTTTGTCTTGTCTTGGGGCTAGAACTCAAGACCTGGGTGCTGTCCCAGAGCCTCTTTGTATTCAAGGACAGTGCTCTACCACTTGAGCCATAGTGCCACTTCTGGCTTTTTTTTTTTTTGGTCGGTCGTGGGGCTTGAACTCTGGGCTTGGGTGCTATCCCTCAGCTCTTTAGCTCAAGACAAGTGCTCTACTGCTTCAGCCACAGTGCCACTTCTGGTTTTCTAGTGATTTATTGGAGATAATAGACTCACGGACTTTTTTGCCCAGGGTGGCTTTGAACCATGATCCTCAGATCTCAGTCTCCTGAGTAGCTAGGATTACAGGTGTGAGCCATTGGTGCCTGGCTCTGGCTTTTTCTGAATAGTTAATTGGAGACACAAATCTCATAGACTGGGGCTGGGAAGGTGGCTCAGTGGTAGAGCACTTGCCTTGCATGCTCGAGGCCCTGGGTTCGATTCCTCAGCACCACATAAGAAAAAAGCCGGAAGTGGTGCTGTGGCTCAAGTGGTAGAGTGCTAGCCTTGAGCTGAAGAGCTGAGGGGCAGCACCCAGGCCCAGAGTTCAGGCCCCACGACCAGACCCAAAAAAAAAAAAATCTCATAGATTTTCCTGCCCAGGCTGGCTTTGAACCACGATTCTTAGATCTCAGCCTCCTGAGTAGGATTACAGGTGTGAGCTATTGGCACCTTGCTAAATTGGAAACAATTTAGGGGACAGATGTTTTGTTTGTATATAAGCAAAT